AATAATAGGATTGATCCCATTACCGTTCATGATGTTGTCAAGCCGGCTAACAATGTCCTCCATCCCAGCCCCAGGAAAGCATACCCTTTGTCTCCTATCCTGTCCTTCAAGCAGAATGCCCTATCATGTATCTAACCTGGCTATCCCCAACAACAACAATATTTTACCTTCCTTGTTGTCGTTCGTCGTGACGATCCAGTAGTAGACTCACATTCGTCGGGTAGCACCGAAAATGCGTTGGAGTTTCCACGGGAGTTTCCACAGCAGTCTCTTTCTTCTTCATCGTTTCTGGCTTTCCATTCGTCTTCTTGATCGTCAACTTCGTCGTCCCCTGCTGTCCAGCCACTGACCACGATCCCTTCTTGACCTGAGGACTCGAAACAGGAGGACTACTACGAATCCTCTTGTTTTCCTCGGTCAATCTCCGTATCTCCATCTTCGCTCCCCTAAATTCTTCCTTAAGTTGCGGGTTTTAAAGTTGTGGGATGGAGGGCATCTTGGTTCGGGCCCACGGGAGCAAACAAGACACTTTTTCAAGGTTAAGTACGGGGTCGGGCATCAAAAAATTCACCACTCAAGAGCACAAAAAACAATCCCCAAAAACCTACAAAAAACCCCCCCCAACCACAGACACACACAACAAACAAGTGGAAACCCTTTGTCAAAACCTATTAAATTTTTTAGGGCAAAGTAAAATAAGGGGGAGAGAGAGGGGGAAAAGAGAGAGAGGAGAGAGAGAAAAGGAGAGAAGAACGACGGGGACAGGGGACAGAAGGGGGGGTTTTAGACTGCATTTTCTTGGAAATTGCAAGAAGGTTTTTCGACACAATTTCCCCTCAAAAAAGGAGAAAAAGTGAAAAAAGCTTGGGGGAGCAGGGCATTTAAACAGGGGAAGGCACTGTGGGATGAAAAGGTTTTTAAAAAACCCACAAGTTGAAGATTGAAGGGCATTTTTGCGCATATGGGGAAACTTTATTCAGGAAACGTTTTTGCCAAAACGTGGTTCATTTAGTCCAAAAACCCAAAAAAAAAGGGTTAAAGGGGAGGAGGGAATGAGGTTAAAACAGTCCCTTTAACCTGGAAATCCCCATTTTGTTTTTTTTTAAATCCCTCAATCATCGCAAGAAACGTTTCCTGAATAAAAAATTCCCCTATGCTGCATAAGTGTTCAATTTCATCAGGGAAGGCACTGCAAATGGATTTTGGAATCCTGATTTGGAAGGAAAAAACGGTTTTTATTTAAATGGAAGTGGGTTTTTTAATAATGGGGATATTAAGAAGGTTTGGGATATTTTCCCAAAAGAAACCCGCAGTAATGGATTTAAATTGACAAGTTTGATTTAGAAAGGATATAGGAAAGTTTGGTTTGGGAAAATTTGGGTAGTGAAAGAGTGGAACAGGTTTTACCTTTGTTGGGTTATTGAGGCTAGGACTTTGGGTAGTTTCAAATTTAGGTTGGATAAATATATGAGTGAGAGGGGTTGGATTTGAGTGGGTCTTGCAAATGAGTGGATAGTTATCAGAGCTTATTTCTTGGGTAGCATTGAAAATTAGGTTGGGCAAATGTTTTGTTAGTGGGATGGATTGTAAAGGACCTGCCTAGTATGGGCCAACAGGCCTGCTGCAGTGATCCTCCTTTCTTATGTTCTTATGTTCTTATGAGTGATGATACGTGACGAGGTGTCAGAGTGGGCGAGTGTGATTAGCGGGGCGCCACAAGGGTCAATCCTAGGACCAGTGCTGTTTCTGGTATATGTGAATGATATAACGGAAGGAATATATTCAGAGGTGTACCAGTTTGCAGACGACGTGAAGCTAATGCGAAGAATTAAAACGGATGAGGATCAGGTAGAATCACAAAGGGATCTGGACAGGCTGCAAGCCTAGTCCAGCAACTGCTCCTGGAGTTTAACCCCACCAAGTGCAAAGTTATGAAGATTGGGGAAGTTCAGAGAAGACCGCAGACAGAGTACAGGCTAGGGGGGCCAAAGACTGCGAACCTCACTCAAGGAAAAGGTTCTTGGAGTGAGTTTCAGCCGAACACATCCCCTGTGGTACACATCAACCATATAACTGCTGCAGCATACGGTCACCTGGTAAACCTGAGAATAGCGTTACCTTGTACACCAGTGACATGATGGTTACTACCTGGTACACCAGTGACGTGAAGGATGGTTACTGACTGTACCCGGAGGGAGGGAGTGGGAGGGTTGTCTGCACTAGGAAGGAGGGAGGGAGGGAGGGTTGTCTGTACTAGGAGGGAGGGAGGGTTGTCTGTACCAGGAGGGAGGGAGGGTTTGTCTGTACCATGAGGGAGGGAGGAGGGTTGCCCGTACCACGAGGGAGGGAGGGAGGGTTGCCTGTATCACGAGGGAGGAGGGAGGAGGGTTGCCTGTATCACGAGGGAGGGAGGGAGGGAGGGAGGGTTGCCTTACCAACGAGGGGGTTCACCAGGGAGGGCTTACCAAATTCTGTACCACGAGGGAGGGAGGTTGCCTGTACCACGAGGGAGGGAGGGTTGCCTGTATCCGGGGAGGGATTTCTGCCGGAGGGGAGGGGGTTGCCTGTACCAAGGGAGGGAGGGTTGCCTGTACCAGGAGGGAGGGAGGAGGGTTGTCTTATCCGTGGAAGGGAGGGAGGGTTTGCCTGTACCAGGAGGAGGGAGGAGTGGAGGGGGTTGTCCTGTATCCGGAGGGAGGGAGGGAGGGTTGTCTGTATCCGTAGGGAGGGAGGGAGGGTTGTCCCGTACCAGGAGGGGGAGGGAGGGAAGGTTGTCTGTACCACGAGGGAGGGGGTTGCCTGTACCAGGAGGGAGGGAGGGAGAGGTTGTCTGTATCCGGAGGGAGGGAGGGAGGGTCTGCCTGTACCGAGCGAGGGAGGGAGGGTTGTCTGTACCAGGAGGGAGGGAGGGAGGGTTTCCTGTACCGAGGGGAGGGTAGGGAGGAGAGGGTTGCCTGTACCACGAGGGAGGGAGGGAGGGTTGCCTGTACCACGAGGGAGGGAGGGAGGGTTGCCTGTACCAGGAGGGAGGGAGGGAGGGTTGTCCCGTACCAGGAGGGAGGGAGGGAGGGTTGCCTGTACCCCGAGGGAGGGAGGGAGGGTTGCCTGTACCACGAGGGAGGGAGGGAGGGTTGCCTGTACCACGAGGGAGGGAGGGAGGGTTTGCCTGTCCTTACCCCGAGGGAGGGAGGGAGGGTTGCCTGTACCAGGAGGGAGGGGAGGGAGGGTTGCCTGTACCAGGAGGGAGGGGAGGGAGGGTTGCCTGTACCAGGAGGGAGGGAGGGAGGGTTGCCTGTACCAGGAGGAGGGAGGGAGGGTTTTCCTGTACCAGGAGGGAGGGAGGGAGGTTGCCTGTACCACGAGGGAGGGAGGGAGGGTTGCCTGTACCACGAGGAGGAGGGAGGGTTGCCTGTACCAGGAGGGAGGGAGGGAGGGTTTGCCTGTACCAGGAGGGAGGGAGGGAGGGTTGCCTGTACCAGGGGAGGGAGGGAGGGAGGGTTGCCTGTACCAGGGGGGAGGGAGGGAGGGTTGCCTGTACCAGGGGGAGGGAGGGAGGGTTTGCCTGTACCACGAGGGAGGGAGGGAGGGTTGCCTGTACCACGAGGGAGGGAGGGAGGGTTGCCTGTACCACGAGGGAGGAGGAGGGTTGCCTGTACCACGAGGGAGGGAGGGAGGGAGGGTTGCCTGTACCACGAGGAGGGAGGGAGGGTTGCCTGTACACGAGGGAGGGAGGGAGGGTTGTCCTGTACCACGAGGGAAGGGAGGGTTGCCTGTACCAAGAGGAGGGAGGGAGGGTTGCCTGTACCAGAGGGAGGGAGGGAGGGTTCCCTGTACCACGAGGGAGGGAGGGTTGCCTGTACCAAGAGGGAGGGAGGGTTGCCTGTACCAAGAGGGAGGGAGGGTTGCCTGTACCACGAGGGGGAGGGAGGGTTGCCTGTACCAAGGAGGGAGGGAGGGGTTGCCTGTACACGAGGGAGGGTGGAGGAAAGGGTTGTCTGTATCCGGAGGGAGGGGGGGAGGGTTGCCTGTACCAGGAGGGAGGGAGGGTGGAGGGAAAGTTGTCTGTACCGGGGAGGGGGGGAGGGAAAAGGGTTGCCTGTATCCGAGAGGAGGGAGGGTTGCCTGTACCAGGAGGGAGGGAGGGAGGGGTTGCCTGTACCAGGAGGGAGGAAGGGAGGGTTGCCTGTACCAGGAGGGAGGGAGGGAGGGTTGCCTGTACCAGGAGGGAGGGAGGGAGGGAGGGAAGGTTGCTGTACCACGAGAGGGGGGAGGGTTGCCTGTACCCGGAGGGAGGGAGGGTTGCCTGTATCCGGAGGGAGGGAGGAGAAGGGAAGTGAGGGAGGGTTGCCTGTACCAGGAGGGAAGGAGGGAGGGTTGCCTGTACCAGGAGGGAGGGAGGGAGGGTTGCCTGTACCAGGAGGGAGGAAGGGAGGGAGTTTTCCTGTACCACGAGGGAGGGAGGGTTGCCTGTACCGGGAGGGAGGGAGGGTTGCCTGTACCAGGAGGGAGGGAGGGAGGGTTGCATGTACCAGGAGGGAGGGAGGGTTGCCTGTACCACGGAGGGAGGGAGGGAGGGAGGAGGGTTTCTGTATCCGAAGGGAGGGAGGGAGGGTTGCCTGTACCAGGAGGGAGGGGGAGGGTTGCCTGTACCAGGAGGGAGGGAGGGAGGTTGCTTGTACCAGAGAGGGAGGAATGTCGTGTCCGAGGGAGGGGGGGTTGCCTGTACCAGGAGGGGGGGGAGGGAGGTTGCCTTACCGGGAGGAGGGAGGAGTTGCCTGTACCAGGAGGGAGGAAGGGAGGGTTGCCTTATCGGGGGGAGAGGGGGTGAAGGGGAGGGTTGCCTATATCCGGAGGGAGGGGGGGAGGGTTGCCTTATCCGGGGGAGGAGGGGTGCCTTACAGGGGGGGGAGGGAGGGCTTGTACCAGGAGGGGGGTTGGCTGTACCAGCAGCCAGACAGGAAGTGTTATTGACTGACTATCTCTTGACACATTCCCTTTAGGCTGCAGGACCTTGACAATGGTGGCGTGGGCGTGGGCGTGACCACACCAGGTGTGGGTTATGGGCGTAGACACAACGCCTCCTTGATTCCTTACTGTACCTCCTACACATACCTCGCGTAAAACACTTCCCTGATTGTACCTCCTACACTGTACCTTGTGTATGACACTTACTGTACCTCCTACACTGACCTAACTTGACACACTTTCCTTACTGTACTGCCCTTCTGAATTATTATGTGAGCAATTACCTGCATGAGGTTTACAGGGGACTCCAATCCTTCCCAGCAACACAACTTAGCTAAGTGATGCTTACCCATAATGTACAGTAGTTTTTGTGGTGGCCATTGTAAATTCTAGCTCTAGTGGTAGTGTTAGGGTGCATTTCCAAAAAATAATAATTGTTATCCAGTAATTAAATGGTAAGTGGTAATATGAATTTCCTTTCTAATAACACTATTATAATTTATGTGCCATAATTACATTGTGTGCCCAGAAAACTTAATCATATACAGTCCACACAACTTTAATTTACCAGAGTAGCTGGTATTAATATTGTAATTATTAATTTAATGTCAGGTCTAGCTTTTTGCGAGTGGTAGGGAGTGGGCATCGAGGGAGTGACAGTATGGTGACCTACTGTGACTAAGTCCCACATATCTCACCCAAATTACTTGAATGTATATGATTAAGTTTGCTGGGCACACAATGTAATTATGGCACATAAATTATAATAGTGTTATTAGAAAGGAAATTCATATTACCACTTACCATTTAATTACTGGATAACAATTATTATTTTTTGGAAATGCACCCTAACACTACCACTAGAGCTAGAATTTACAATGGCCACCACAAAAACTACTGTACATTATGGGTAAGCATCACTTAGCTAAGTTGTGTTGCTGGGAAGGATTGGAGTCCCCTGTTTTTCCATTCTTGTTGCCATAATGTAAGGGCTTTCCACATTATTGATCCCAATTCTTCAGCAGGAACGTGTCAGCAATATACAGCTGATATTCACCAACTGACCTTCAAGAATGCCTGATTACTTTGCACAATTCAGTCCAGTGTTCACACATTAAATTCATTATGGCATCTCCCCGTCTGCCTCACTCAGCAGCTGTTCTACACCCCCCTCACTCAAAATTTCCTGAAAGGGTCAAATCAGCATCACATTTGATTATACAATTATTGTATTATTCAAATTTACATGTGCTAAATTAAGGGAATCCAAAATTTTCCACAGCCCTCACTGTACCTCCTCCATTGTATTTTTATCACTGTAACTTCATTGAATTGTCTTCACTGTACCTCCCTCACTGTATCCTCACTGTACCTCTCCCCACCATGCCTTTATTGTACCTTCCCTGTGTACCTCATTTAATATACCTCCTTCACATTGCCTCCCTCTTCCCACAAAAGGTGCTATCTGTCATTGTTATATCCCAAGTCAAAAATATAAACATGCATTTCAAACAACGAGGAACAATCAAATTCAACACTGAATACGCTGGTTACCTGAAACACGTTGAAATTCTTTGTAATACTTGTTAAGGCTAATGTATCCCACTGCTGCTAGGATAATTATAACATGTGTGTGTGTGTGTGTGTGTGTGTGTGTGTGTGTGTGTGAAAATGATTTTGTATTTTGATTATTGGCTTTAGTTTACGACTTCTACGCGGGCAATAGTTTACATTTTACGATACAGCCTAATGTTCAGTACGGAATAAGCAAGCATTTCTCATACAGATTATTTTGGGAGATGTTAGAAAGGGCAGAGGTGTGACTAGTACATGATAAACTGGATTAATATTTCAGAATTGAAATTATGATTTAATAATGATCCAAATCCTGTTGATGAACAGTTGTGTACTGGTCCCACATTTTTTTCTTCCAAATAAACTATCAAAACCTAAACACTTGTCCAACACTTTGGTATATTGTGGAAATGTTTCGCCAGCCAGTTTCTTCCTCTCCAATACAGAGAAGAATGGGTGACTATTGATGGACCGTCATAAATGGTTTTGAAAACCGACAAGTTGAAGATTGAGACACTTATGCAATATATAAGAATCTTTATTGAAGAAATGTTTTGCCACAAAGTGGCTTCATCAGTCCAATACAAAGTAAAAAGGTGTAAGGAGAGGAGGAGTTTGAGGTAATCAGTCCCTCATCCTGGAATCAGTGTGTTCAGTCCATCACTCTTGTAGAAAGTACAGCATATGGCCGGAAAAGTGACTTATATACTGTAGTCAGGTGAGGTGAAGCAGGAGGAGGCGGGGTCACAGTGGTACCATCCACTAGTGTAAGTAGGTCTTCATCCAAAGGCTGGACAAGTGTTGAAGAATTCCTTGTATCAAGATCCCATGATTATGCAGTGTCTCAGTTTTCAGATTGATGGACTGATCACATTGATTCAAGGCTGAGGGACTGATTACCTCAAGCTACTTCTGATCTTCAACCATTATTCTCTGTAGTGGACTGAGGAAGCCACAGGCTGGCAGAACATTTCCACAATAAAGATACCCAAGTGTTGCACAAGTGTCTTAATTCATCACCCTATCAGTTCGCTGAACCATTTATCTGTAAATCGTAACCTAGCTTAACCTTGCCAAGATCTCTGCGGTGTAAAATATTTTTACCTAACCTAAACACCTAAATTCTGCAAGTAATGTAACCTTTTATGTTCATTATCAGATGGTACAGTGTATTTTGTGAATGCTTCATAATGGTAATCTGTTCACCAAGTAGTTAGATAAGATAAGATAAGATTTCGTTCGGATTTTTAACCCCGGAGGGTTAGCCACCCAGGATAACCCAAGAAAGTCAGTGCGTCATCGAGGACTGTCTAACTTATTTCCATTGGGGTCCTTAATCTTGTCCCCCAGGATGCGACCCACACCAGTCGACTAACACCCAGGTACCTATTTGCTGCTAGGTGAACAGGACAGCAGGTGTAAGGAAACGTGTCGAAATGTTTCCACCCGCCGGGAATCGAACCCGGGCCCTCCGTGTGTGAAGCGGGAGCTTTAGCCACCAGCAGTTGTTGTAGTAGTAGTAGTTGTAGTAGTAGTAGTTGTAGTAACAGTTGTAGTAGTAGTAACAATTGTAGTAGCAGTTGTAGTAGCGGTTGCAGTAGTAGTAGCAGCGGTTGCATCAAACATTGTCCTCCATCAACTCTTGTGGGCTCTGTAAAATAAGTTAGCTCATCTGATGCTACAAAAATGTACTAGGCCCATGTGATGACAAAAGTTTATTTGATATAAACTCATGACACCACAAAGAACAAAGACACAATACCATGACTGAAATGGTGCACAAAGTCTGTGTGACTGTCATTGGTGCAAGTCGGACCAAAACATCATCGTAATCTTTTCTATCTCTTACGTACGGTTTATTTGTGTATTTTGACACCAGTTACAACAGTTGGGACTAACCATGCATGCTCTGTGGTTGAGTTGGTATAACTCAGAATGTGTGATTGCAAGGTTGCCGGTTTGGTCCCCAGTACTCCTTACACAATTTTTTTTTTTTTTTTGCATGATATGGCGAGATTCTCATTTCATATACAGAAGAGCCTCACTTATACAGCAGGTTAGGTTCTGGGCTACAGCTGTAAAACAAATTGCTGTAAAGTGAAATACATATAGGCATTATTCACTTTCACATGCACATAAAACCCTGATAACATGTTTAGTCTATCATATATTAAGTGAAAATAGAACTATTTTTTATTTTTATTATCACACCGGCCGATTCCCACCAAGGCAGGGTGGCCCGAAAAAGAAAAACTTTCACCATCATTCACTCCATCACTGTCTTGCCAGAAGGGTGCTTTACACTACAGTTTTTTTAAACTGCAACATTAACACCCCTCCTTCAGAGTGCAGGCACTGTACTTCCCATCTCCAGGACTCAAGTCCGGCCTGCCGGTTTCCCTGAATCCCTTCATAAATGTTACTTTGCTCACACTCCAACAGCACGTCAAGTATTAAAAACTAGGCATGAAAAAATGCATATGCAGTACACAAATTACTTGCCTTAAAATATTTTCGTGCTTAGCTTATAGTGAATGGTGAATATATTATTGTAAGATGTCTGAATAAGTGAAGAATGAGTATAATTGAAATCTGCCACATTAGCAAAACACTGTAAAGTGGGGCCCTCCTGTAGTATTATGCTCATGAGCAACAGGTAATGGTCTGGGACCTTGTATGTACATACCATATTTTCCCAGCATATAAGGCACGCTTTTTTTCCCCCACAAAAGTCTTAGAAAATCAACCTGTGTCTTACATGCTCAAGGTCAGGGTCAAGGGTTGGTTTTGTTTTGCTTTAGCATTTGTTTACTAATGTTATGTTACAACTGCTTAGAAACATTGTCTTACATGCTCGTGTGCCTTATATGCTGGAAAATGAGATACGCGCTGATGGTGGTAAATCGTTATGAATTAAAAACATTATAGTTGCAAATATATTGCTGATCCTTGTGGCTCCCCACTGCTAACATTTCCCCTAATGGGCATTTTTTTCCCTCTTATCACTGTTTACATTTTCCTCTCGAGTTTGATAATTTGCATTTTATTTCATTAATGTTTTAAAGTTTCCACATTAGTCTCTTATGAAGAATTATCAAAAGCCATCATAAAATCTAGATAAATGCAATGTGCCCATCCATTTTTTTTAACATTATAGCATAGTTTAAATTTATTTGATGTGTACTGGAATTTCCACACCAAGAGCTGCATTTTTACTAGTCAGACTTTTTTCTACAAGTGTTTTATCCACTTTTTAATAACTTTTTCTAATGTTTTAACACTTGTCATGAATTTCACTTATAATTTAAAGGGTCTAACTTGCCACATTTTCTCAGTATTGGCACAAAGTGTGACATTTTCCATTTGTTTGCCAGTTTGCTCTCTTGCAGTGCAATGCTAAAAAAATTCCAGAGGATAGGTCACTTCTTTTGCACAATCTTTTAAACATAGCCTTTTTTAACTTTCATATGTATACAAAACCCTGATAACATGTTTATACTCTCTTACTATTGAAATTTCTCATTTGCCACCTTGTCATTTTTCTGGATTTTGCTTTGTGTTTCCCAAGTGACATGTCCTAATTATACTTTTTTTATTGAATTACTAAATACCCCCAATAGTTTAAAAACTATGGATTCTTATTCTCATATACAGTGGACCCCCGACTTACGATATTAATTCATTCCAGAAGTCTGTTCGGGTGCTGTTACCAAACGAATTTGTTCCCATAAGAAATATTGTAAATTAGATTAGTCTGTTTCAGACCCCCAAAAATACACTTACAAAAAGCACTTACAAAAATACACTTACATAATTGTTCGAGTTGGGAGCTGATCATAAGTTGGGGGTCCACTGTATTTATAATCTTAATTTAGTTTTAAGTTTGCCTGAAATGCTCTGTGCAACAAGGGCCTTTCTGTAGAGCAATTATATATGTCAGTCCCCTAAATTGTTTAATACGTGTATACTCTACCCCACTTTTTAGAAATAAAATTTGTTTTTTTTTTCATTTGTGTATTATTCTTTTACTTGTTTCCTATACCTTTTGAAATAGTCTGACTATGTTATGTATTCTGTGATCATTTTGAGTTTTTCATTCTTCCTATGTGTGAGCAACTGAAATTCGTCACTATTGAACATTATGTTACTGTATTTTTACTTGCTGTTTGGAAAAATTTTGTTGATATCTATTTGTAATTTTTCTACTTATTTTGGTACCTGCAAAGCATGATACAAAGCTGAGACTACTGTTTTGCTAGACTCGCTATGGAGATAAGAAACAGATAAGACACCAGGATTGTGCCTTGGGGCATTTACAATTTAGGCAATAGAAAGTACTGTAATTGTTGTGTTAAAATGTAGTTAATGTGGGACTGTGAATGAAAAAATTTTAGCATTAGTTATATAATGGTGAAGAATGATCTCAGACCGGGCTGTGGGGGCATTGACCCCTGAAACCCTCTCCAGGTAAAAAACTCCAGGCATGTGTATTATATATATTTTCCTGTATCCTACACAGTAAACAATTTTGAGTCTGTTTTTAACATATTTTGTGTACATATTTTATAAAAAAAATTGGTTATACTGATAATACAAATCTCCTTTTGCATTTCAGAAGAGACTCCGAGGCGCCGGCGTCGTCGTGGTCCAGCATCACCTGTGAGCGGCAGTGTCTCAGTGTCGGGAGCTGAGCCTCTGAAGACACCAGAGGTGGTACGTCATGTGGTGTCCTGCCTCACAACACCTCCAGCCAGCCCACCAACTCATCCGCCCACACAGCCCTCGCCGCCGCCCACACTTTGCCACCCGTCCCCACAGCCCACTGTCCCTGTCCACACTTTCCAGCCCATCCAGCCTGCTCTAACCCAGGACACAACACACTCGGCGCCCTCCACATTAGACTCACGCTCCAAAAGCACTCATAATGGTGAAACTCGACGTGTGAATAGTGTACTTGGAGAACGGTCTGAAACTGAGGAAGGACACGTGCGCAAGGTGCCACCAAAACTTGCACCTCTGCGGAAACCAGAGATTCCGGACGTACTGCGTCCGAAAGACACAACTGGATTAGCCTCACCAGGCGTTGTCAATACTCCACCAAACTCCAGGCCATCTTCTGTGGTACTTGAGAAACCACCACTTGCTCCTGAAGGACTGAGGCCTGCAGTTATTCGATCTTCCCTGAGAAAGCTCTCAGATACTGGCACTTGTTTTATGGCAGCTCGTCGAGAGAAGCGAGACGACACAAAAGCCGAGAACATCTTCCGAGAACTTCAACAACGACCCAAGAAGGAGAACAGACTTTCAAAATCAGACATGAATCTGAAGGTTGAGTCGAGTTACTCTGGTAAACAGGGCGATGCACTAACATCAGGAGGCTCAGATTTAGAGACCTCAGGTGCAAACTCATCTCCAACAATGTTCTCTTCAGGTGCTACAGTCAACTCGGAGTTGATGAGTAGCCGTCTAGAAGCCCTTACAGCTCGAGCAAGAGAGACGTTTGAGAGGGTAGACCGTCTTGCTAATGACAGTCCACCACCACTTCCGGAGACTAGCCCGCCGGAGGACAGTGCTGACAGTGTAGTTCATGAATGTGAGGAATATCTTACTGTGAATGCTAGCCGAAAAGAGTCTAGCGGTGGTGTACGCCCTCGAGACACTGGTGCAGGTGATGCCCGTAGTGACACGTTGCAGGCTCCAGTTGCCATGAAAGGTATTGTGTCTGACACGGGTCAGAAAAACTGGGTCGGGGGCTCTGAAGGACGTGGTAAAGAAAGTAAGCGGTTGGCTATGGAAAAAGAAATGAATAGAGATACTAAACATGATGTTAGCCAAGTAGCAGTACAGGATAAAGTTACTGCTGCCTCCGCTGTGCCTTCAGGGCCCCCGGATCATGGTGCCTTTGTAAATGACAATGGAAATTCTCCTCCTGAAGTAATTTGTGATCTTCAGCAGGATGGATATGAAGATGAAGACCTGGGTTCTCCTGACTCCTCCCAGATAAGAAGCCCTGAGCACCTTAGCAGCAGACGCAGTTCAAGACGCTGTTCTCTAGATGGAGAGTCTTCACGCACTAACTCACCTGATCCTCAGTCTATATTAAAGCGACGATCTTCACGTGAAGATGTTACCACTGAGCGCCCTACAACACCAGAGCCACATAGTATATTAAAACGTAAAACCAGCTCGCGCACATCAAGTATAGATATGGTAGAGGGTGAGCCAAGGCCTATACTAAAGAAAAAGAGCAGCACAGAAGAGCTTGATCATTTTGAACCAAGACCTATACTAAAGAAGAAGTCATCCACTGATGATGAGTTGGATGATAGACCTCGGTCAATCTTAAAGGGTGGACGCAGTAGAGAAGACCTCGACCGTGCTGATGGTGTCATATCACCAAATCCTATTCTTAAATGGTCACCAAGATATGATAGTGAAGGAGAAGGGGAATTACGCCCAATTCTCAAAAGGCGGGAGACAACTGATGGTGTGAGACTCAGACTCCATGTGTCTGATGGTGAGGATATGGATAGTGAAGTGCCTAGTGTTAGAGTGAGAAGTGACTCTGCCCCTGAAGCTGTGATACGTATAAGGGGACGCTCTCCTCCAGCACCATCTGCCACTCCTTCCCATGGAATTCTGAAGAAACGTGGGGCACAGTCACCAGGACGTTTTGATCAGATGGATAGTGAACTAGGAGCCATCCTGCGTTCTCGAAGATCACTAGGGCCTGACGATAATGACATTGATAGTGATATATCAAATCGACCTGTCAGTCCATGCCTTGGGGCACTGATTAGAAGAGATGAATCTGCCGTGAGATCAGGTGAGCGACCACTGAGTGTAGCAGAAAGGGTTGCTGGTATGGAAGCAGCCAGACAGGAACCTCTTCCCCCACAACGCTCCCCCACTCCTACTCGAAGCCCTGGTGCCAGACCCAAGGTTATGCCGTCCTTCCTTGAACGCCCTCCAACACCCAGTGACAAGGAGAGGTAAGATCATAGTTAATATTTGCTCCTAGTTGCAGGAACTCAAGTGTATGCTATCTGGTAGTATATATGATTTATTTACCTTCAGATAAGAAGAGTTTGCTTGAAGTTTTTAGCTGCTTTTCATTGATTTCTAGCATAATATTTTAGTTTTTAAAGAATTTATCCCAGTGTCATATTTAATCCTTAAATTTTGCACAGTATTGTTCATATAATATTTCCCATTCTAATGCTTATATAAATATACCATAACATAAATCCAAATACACTATACAGGAGGGACCCGCTTATTCAGCAGGTTAGGTTTCAGGCTACTGCTGTAGAGTGAAAATTACTGTTGGTGAATCATAGCCTTTTTTTTCACTCTAAAAGCATATAGTTTACACTATCATATATTAAGTGAGCAATAGAGCTAGATTTTAAAAATGCAAATACAGTACACACATTACTTACCTTAAAATATTTTTGTCCTTAGCTTATAGTGAGTTGTGAATGTATTTACTGTAGGAAGTCTTGAATAAATGAAGAATGGATATGATTGAAAACTGCTGCATTAGTGAAATGCTGTGGAACAGAGCCTGCCTATATATGGTAGTGTTTACATGGCACAATTAAAAATTCTGCTTCAGAGTTCTGCATTAAAGAATTGTTTTATTTATTTGTAAAGCACGGTACTACTCAAGTGTTTATTAACTGTATGGAAATAAAGCTCAGGTCTTATTTACCAGAATCAAATTTTTATAATTTCTGACAGCACAAAAGCGGGTAATAGCAGCTTAACTGTGCCGCTCAATATTGTTAGGTGGTTACACAAACAGCTTTTGTCAGGGAGAGTTGAAAGGACCAGGTCCATCTGGGTATAGATAGTGCTTATTTAGCAGTTAGTGGAAGGAAGATAGAGCATTCTGCACTTCATAGAATTACATTAATATTGCTATCGTCAGGTGGTTGCACTAATGATTCATTAGGTAGGCTGGAAATCAATTTCCTGGCAAGCATAATTAAAAACATAAAAAAGAAGAAGCACTGCAACAGGCCTACAATGCAGGCCTACAGGATACCCAATGTGCATCATTGGTTATCTTCATTGTTGAAACATTTCTCCTACACAATAGGCCTCTTCAGTCAAATACAGAGGCAGCGGTAAAATAAACTGTTGTGCATATGTCTTAATCATCAACTTGTAGATGTTTTATACCATTATCAACATAATCGGGCCTAGCTCACACCCACACACATGCACTCGTGTACTTGGCTAACACCTTTGTTTGTTTAGTGATTAGTGGGATGAGGATTGCACTTCCAACACTTTGCATAATTTTAGCAATTAACAGTTAAAAGAGTATGCATTTATTTTCTTTTATGAGCCTCACGGACTGACTCTTATGTGTGTAGTGCTGTATGTGAATCTGATAACTAGATGTGTCTTGGTTACATCACAGTCCAAGAAAGATATCTTTATATTCCATGAACCCAACTTTCTTCACCTCATTGCATGCAAAAGAAATAGGTATAAGGACATGTGTGCAACAATTGCAACATTTTATTGTGGTAACCTTTCACTCTCCAGGAGCCTTGTCAAGCTGTAACAGCTTAACAAAGCTCCCGAAGAGTGAAACGTTGCCACAATAAAATGTCGCATTAGTTGCAATTATGTCCCTAACATGTTGTCAGTAATTCTACCAATATTAGTACAAAAAGAAATAGTGTTGAGTGTGGTGTAAGTTTCTAATTTTTTTTTATTTACACATCGACCGTTTCTCACAAAGGTAGGGTGGCCCGAAAAAGAAAAACGTTCACTATCATTCACTCCGTCACTGTCTTGCCAGAGGCACACTTACACTACAGTTATAAAACTGCAACATTAACACCCCTCATTCAGAGTGTAGGCACTCTACTTCCCATCTCCAGGGCTCATGTCTGGCATGCCGGTTTCCCAGAATCCCTTCATAAGTACATGTATTACCCTTCTCACACTCCAACAGCATGTCGAGTCCTAAAAACAATTTGTCTACATTCGCTCCTATCTAACATGCTCACGCATGCTTGCTGGAAGTCCAAGCCCCTCGCACAGAAAACTTCTTTACCCCCTCCCTCCAACCTTTCCTAGGATGACCTCTACCCCGCCTTCACTACAGATTTATACACTCTCGAAGTCATTCTTATTTTGTTCCATCCTCTCTACATGTCTGAAGCACCTCAACCCCTCCTCAGCCCTCTTGATAATAGTTTTGGTAATCCCACACCTTCTCATTTACAAACTATGAATTCTCTGCATTGCATTCACATCACACATTGCCCTCAGACATGACATCTCTACTGCCTCAAGCAGTGGAGTTGTTGTGTGAGGCATGGGTGGTGAATGTTGCAACATTCTCTACCCATGCTTCACACCCATATAAGAGTGCTGGTATAACTATACTCTCATACATTCTCCTCTTTGCTTCCATGGACAAAGTTCTTTGTCTCCACAGACTCCTCAATGCACCACTCACCTTTTTCCTCTCGTCAGTTCTATGATTCACCTCATCTTTCATAGACCCATCTGCTGACATATCCAATTCTAAATATCTGAATATATTCACCTCCATACTCTCTCCCTCCAACCTGATATCCAATCTTTCATTACCTAATTTTTTTGTCATCCTCATCACCTTACTCTTTCCTATATTCACTTTCAGTTTTCTTCTTTTACACACCCTACCAAACTCGTCTACCAACCTCTGCAGCTTCTCTTCAGAATCTCCCAAAAGCAGTGTCATCAGCAAAGAGCAACTGTGACAACTCCCACTTTGTGTTACATTCTTTATCTTTTAACCCCACACCTCTTGCCAACACCCAAACATTCACTTCTCTTACTACCCCATCTATAATTATATTGAACAACCATGGTGACATCACACATCCTTGTCTAGGGCCTAATTTTACTGGGGAAATAATCTCCCTCTTTCCTACATACTCTTTAAGTTTCTGATGTCATTTATCAGCATTGAAAACTTGAAGGCAATCAGACAAAGCATTCACAAGTTAGGAAACTAATATCCCAATTTCTTCAATAAATAAAAATAATAAATAGTCAGCTGCACATCCCAGAACCAGTTAACATCTTCCAGTAAGAAATGCCAGCTTTGAAAATTTGAAATACAAATACAGAATACAAAAATTTATTTCTTTGCAAAGGTTACAATGTGTGATTTCATTTTATAATTTGTTTGATACAAAGAAAGCCACTAACATACCAGGGCATTAAGCTGCACTAATCTTGAAAGTTTGAAGCTGGTCAGAAAAAGCTTTTTCAACTTATTGCACAGAAACCAAAATTGGATAGGGTCTATATAGAGTTCTCCATGAGGGAAGTAAAGAAGAATCCTTCCTCCGTAAGCTGTGCTAGTAACCTCGTTTTCTGTATATACAGTAGAACCCCCATATCTGCGGATTCGGTTTCTACATTTTCAATTATCCACGGTTTACCACGGCCTGAAAATAAGACTTAATTTTTCTTAATAATTACACCAAAGCACAAAAGTAGTGATGGTGACAGTTCTTCAAAGAATAATAAGTTGTGAAGTGCTTCCCATCAGTGAAAAAGTGATAATTCTCCACTTACTGTGCGTAACTTATCAATTAAACTTTATCATAGGTGTGTATGTAAATGAAAAACTACTTATATGTAGGGTTTGCTACTAACCATTGTTGGTCTTGGAACGTATTCCCTGCAGATACGGGTGGACTACTGTACAGCCTCTTCTCACTTAGCGACATACTCTTTTACTGACTCCTTGGACTTACAGCGGGCTCTCTGGCCAGTATTCATACCTAAATAATGCATATTAGAGTTGATTTCCTCTATCCTGTTTATTTCAATATACAGTACACTACTGTATAAACATTTAAAAATGTGCCAGAAATGTTATAAATGGTGAAAAGGTGACATGAAAACAATATCAAAGATGATTGACACAAACTCACTATCATTATAGTATGCTCCTCACTTAGCGACGAATTCGTTTAATGATGAGGTTTCAGGAATGGAACTCCATTGTTAAGTGAGGAGAGCCTGTATTACTAAAGGTTAAAAGAAGAAAAGTTTCTTTTTCTGTTCACCCTACCTCGGTAGGAGACAGTCAGTCTGTTTAAAAATGTAATGTAGTAACAACGACATAATAAAAAATATACTGTCTATGTAATAGGCAAAATATTTTCTCTTCACCTTTTTCAGGGAAACTCGAAGAAACAGTGCCTTTGGCCTGGTAGCTGATTCTTCCCCTAGTAACAGTGTAGAAGCTGTTAACGAAGCTTTTTTGGACCGTCCAGTAGTTGAAGCTTACAACAGTGCTATGTCTTCTGGCTGTGACACCACCCCAGACACTCCTTCATCAGTATCACAGAAAGCTGCCTTCTTCGCACAAGTAAGAACATCAGTCTTTTGGTATGTCTTCAGTCTATCATTACAGTTCACACGTATTTCTCTTTAAAAATACAGTATTTTCCAGCATGTAAGGCACATGAGCATACCAGGTGCACTGCAATTTTGGCAGGCATATTCTGAGGAAAACAAAAAATGCAATACTTTGCTTCAAAATTATAGTGAGACAATGGCTGGCAGCTTATACTTACAGCTGAAAGAAGTGGGACCTTGTCATCACTTGGAGAAAATGAAACACAAATAAAAGAACTAACGAATATTTCATTCTGCAACTGAGGCAGTTTCAATGGTTGTAGGTCAAAATATGCAGTACTATATAGTATTCCACTTATCTTTTGTTTCACTTTCTCCATTTTAATTCACTTGTAGCTCACTATTCAGAAAATATGTTATGAACAGTATATATTGTATGCATTGTATTGTTCTGTATTTTTTGTGATAAATCTGTTCTTTTAGGTGGTAAGTTATTAAATGCTGTAAGAGTTTTTATGAGGATAGTGAGGCTCAGGTTAGGGTGTGTAGAAGAGAGGGAGAATACTTCCCGGTAAAAGTAGGTCTTAGACAGGGATGTGTAATGTCACCATGGTTGTTTAATATATTTTTAGATGGGGTTGTAAAGGAAGTAAATGCTAGGGTGTTTGGGAGAGGGGTGGGATTAAATTTTGGGGAATCAAATTCAAAATGGGAATTGACACAGTTACTTTTGTGATGATATTGTGCTTATGGGAGATTCTAAAGAAAAATTGCGAAGGTTAGTGGATGAGTTTGGGAATGTGTGTAAAGGTAGAAAGTTGAAAGTGAACATAGAAAAGAGTAAGGTGATGAGGGTATCAAATGATTTAGATAAAGAAAAATTGGATATCAAATTGGGGAGGAGGAGTATGGAAGAAGTGAATGTTTTCAGATACTTGGGAGTTGACGTGTCAGCGGATGGATTTATGAAGGATGAGGTTAATCATAGAATTGATGAGGGAAAAAAGGTGAGTGGTGCGTTGAGGCATATGTGGAGTCAAAAAACGTTATCTATGGCAAAGAAGGGAATGTATGAAAGTATAGTAGTACCAACACACTTATATGGGTGTGAAGCTTGGGTGGTAAATGCAGCAGCGAGGAGACGGTTGGAGGCAGTGGAGATGTTCTGTTTAAGGGCAATGTGTGGTGTAAATATTATGCAGAAAATTCGGAGTGTGGAAATTAGGAAAAGGTGTGGAGTTAATAAAAGTATTAGTCAGAGGGCAGAAGAGGGGTTGTTGAGGTGGTTTGGTCATTTAGAGAGAATGGATCAAAGTAGAATGACATGGAAAGCATATAAATCTATAGGGGAAGGAAGGCGGGGTAGGGGTCGTCCTCGAAAGGGTTGGAGAGAGGGGGTAAAGGAGGTTTTGTGGGCAAGGGGCCTGGACTTCCAGCAAGCGTGCATGAGCGTGTTAGATAGGAGTGAATGGAGACGAATGGTACTTGGGACCTGACGATCTGTTGGAGTGTGAGCAGGGTAATATTTAGTGAAGGGATTCAGGGAAACCGGTTATTTTCATATAGTCGGACTTGAGTCCTGGAAATGGGAAGTACAATGCCTGCACTTTAAAGGAGGGGTTTGGGATATTGGCAGTTTGGAGGGATATGTTGTGTATCTTTATACGTATATGCTTCTAAACTGTTGTATTCTGAGCACCTCTGCAAAAACAGTGATAATGTGTGAGTGTGGTGAAAGTGTTGAATGATGATGAAAGTATTTTCTTTTTGGGGATTTTCTTTCTTTTTTGGGTCACCCTGCCTCGGTGGGAGACGGCCGACTTGTTGAAAAAAATAAAAACAAAAAAAAACATCATGGGTAGTTTTTTCCTAGTAGGCCTCTCCCTGTTTTAAGGCCTCGTAATTCATTTATTTCCTTATATTAATGTGTAAACTTCTGTCTTCTTATTAATATATAGTATTTAGGGCCTTGTTCTCTGTGGACATTTTCCTTTAATAAAGACTGGTGACAGAATTTCACCAGACATTTCTAAAGCCAGAAACCCCCAAAACATTAGTAAAAGAATACTGTATTCTAGGCTGGCTAGCAAAGCAGTTGCCAGTTGCATGCATTGGTTAATAAAAGACTATCCTAAGCAAGTACATATGAGTGAAATATATTAACAACTAAACCACAAGTTGGAGATGAAAATATGATATTTTAGCCCATCTTAGACAACTACAAAGTTACTTGTTCCTTGATTATGGTCCAAAACAGACTGAAATATTTCCTTATTTCATCTGGGGGAAACATTGTCTATAAAGGATTGCAGCTTAATGCAGTTCTGTCTTTTTTTTTCCATAATCTTGGTATTTTATATTATTTTTCTCCAAGACTTAGGAACCATCATTGGGAAGGGTTACTGTATTCAGTTTGGCTATCCCTATAGTAGTAGTGACTCGATGGACAACTTTCAGTCAGTTGATCCTTTATCTACAGGTGTGAAATGTGTACATATTGGATCTAAAATTGTATGAAATTGTTTCAGTTGGAGCGTGAGAAGATCACATCTGATAGCACTCCCGTTGTTCCCAGTCGTAGCGCACGTTTTACCAGCAGAAGGGACCGAGGAACCAGGTGTGTATTTTCACATGTAGTGCAGTATATCGAGGGTAATAAATATATTATGTTAAAAATATTCTAAGTATTGTTTTCTTAGTAGACTAATAAATTTTTCTGTCCAAAAATTTCTATGGTTGCATGTGACAATATTTATGTAGTAATTTCTTAATGAATCATAGTCAGCAGGTGTAAATTTTTTACTCCGGAAGTAATAAGATTCTGTGTCATTTTCCTAGATTTGAGCAGATAGCGAACTTCTTTGAAATGTAAGGAAATTTACATCTTTTTGTGTATAATAATTGTAGATAAATAAAAGTAGTATCTTCTAATGCTGTATTTCTCCAATTGGCACTTCTTAGGTTACAAAAAAATGCAATTTCTTTACTTCTTTTAGTAAAAGCATTTATTTCAGCACACTGCAGTATAACATGCTTGATACAAAATATGCAATACCGTATTGTAAGTTGTTCTGAGCTTCTATGACTGTTATAACACTAACACAGAAGCTTGCACATGCAGGTCATCAGCTATTGCACATGATGTAATATATGTACATGAATGCAATACTCTGTAAAAGCTTATACAAGTGTAAAGTTTAATCGCATGTATCAGTGCTCAGCCAGAAATCGCAAGGTATTCTTGATATTTTGATATCAAATGCATCATTAAAGAACTGTATTGATTTGAGTATGTTAGGTATTGCCAAAATGAATCAAACGACTATGAGGCATAAGAAATTATTTTCATTTATGTATTTGTTAATCCATTAACAATTTTTATGGATACACAAGCTATTTTCTATACTGCATTTTTGCTAATAGTAATATACATGTAATTTCATAGAATCAATATAAAGGCATGCGATACCGACACAAAATTTAATCACTAAGGTGCATTTTGGTCCTGGGATCTTGGCCATTCTGAATGTACACAAGGGTTGCCTGGTTGACAAGGCAAGCACCAGACTAGCCTCGCCTATGGCTAGGCTCTGGGAGTAGAAAAACTCTCAGAACTTGACAAAGATAAAGGTATATGAGAGGATAAGAAGACATGAGCTGATATAGTGAGGGAAGGCACCAGAGAAGCGAGGTACGTATTGTGGCATGTCATGTGAGTGCAGTTTCTCGTGGTGGTGGGGCAAAGCTTGCCTGATTATCATATGGACCAGGGTCTCAGTAATATGCTATAATTTCCTGCACTTGTTTCACTATTTGTTGTTGCAATACAGCAGACTTACAAACAGTGCCTTATATAGTCAGGTGACTTCCCTGACTATACAATCTTATGGTTTCTTAATTTTATGTATACATTTGGAATGACAGGGTCCCATGGTTGAAATGTTTCCAATAAACATTTTGTCTTTTCCTGCTAAATTCATAGAATGTTTTCCTATTATTATTGTTTCTGTCAGGCATGCAACACAACCTGTAACAGATGATGAGGTGAGCCAAGCTGCATTGTTGGCCGATGCCTCAGATTCTGCCTCGGCCTCTCACGACTCCGACTCTGCTCCTCCACGTAGAGGCTCACGTGAGTACTTGGGAAAAAGCACTTGTAGCCTGATGTGTTGGTAAGAAAGGTGACATCTCTGTTGCAGTTGATAATACACATTTTGTTTATGTGCAAGAATCGTGCGTGTATAGAGGATGTGTCACTCTTTCACACCAGCCCTCATGCTTTAGTTGCCATGATCACAGATGATCAGTGAAAAGCTTGAGATTTGACTGCATGTGCATGCATCATCATAGGGTGCCAAGCAAGCACTAGCCACTGTGCTATGCTGTGGCCTCTAACACCAGCCATAATGTCACAAGTTACTGACAAAGTGAAACTCTTAATACTGATAGCAGCATTTGCTCCAAGACACTCAATCCTATTTATCTTGTGTTTTATTGAGTGATATTCACAATTTAAAATAATGTATTTATGTTTGTACTGTGATAAATAGCTTCCATTTCAAAATTCTTTAGTTTTAGTTACCAAACATGTATGGAAAGTTATTACTGAAAGATTTAATTAATCAAAAATACACATTGCATGTTCCATTGGTTTGGTATGAACACATTCACACATAATTTTACAGATATAGAAAATAACACTAAACAGATCAGGCAATCATAGTATGGATCAAAAATTATATTTATATATACGTATATACAGGAAACACTATTTGTCCTTAACTTTTAGAGAATGGCTTTCCCATCAATGTGGTTCATATAGTCAACCAAAAATAGCCATTGTCATGTTTGAATGAATCGTGTTGCTGAAAAGCCTTGTCTCTACCTAACCAATGTTGAGGTTAACTTGCCTAACCCCATGTCCCTTGACCTATCCCTGGCCCGATTTGAACTCCTGTGCTCCACTAACCAGTGCCATGGAAGAGTGGCACACCAGGAGATTCTAGTAGCAGTCACAACAGCATAAACAAGACTGGCAGCAGTAATAGTGTGGGTGCCCGTGTAGCCCTGTGGACAAAGAGACTGGAGGAGGAGCGATTATCAGCTCCTACTCTTGACGGTGCTCAGGGCATACGACATCGATCCCGTTCTGCACGCTTCAAGACACAACCGGTGACACTGGAGGAGGTGGCCCATGCACATGCCCTTAACAACCAGACCGTCAGCACCCCCACAGGAACCCCTGAGGAACAGGAACTAGGTACTAACAAGCACCCACCCCTACCCCAAAATGGACAGAATGGTGGCTTACCATACACAGTCTACCAGTATTTTGAAATTGCTCTTGAATTGTTGTTTTGAGTTAAACTCTTTTCTAATAAGAATGTATTGACAGATGCTGATACAGGTGCTCTTTGACTTAAGATGGTTTGACTTTATGGTGGTGCAAAAGCAATTACTTTAGAAACTTAATTACCCAGCATGAAGACAGAAAGTCTGTAACTTGCATTCATTTATTTACTTTCCAATACTGGAATTTAGTTATATTAATTATTTGTTTATTTACATATTCAGTGACAGTAGTTATTTATGTATTTATTTAGCATATCATATTCACATTTGACTTACAATGGGTTCATCAGAATGTAATCCCATCGTAAGTCAAGGAGCACCTGTATAGTTCTCTTCTAACATGAAACCCGAGAGCTATTTCAGAATACTGCATAGAATTGCATGCTGCAGATCTTGAGCATTTTTGTGCATGATAGTTGCATTTCTCTAATTTTCATTGTCTGCTGGACAGATCATCTACATTTTATTCCTGCTAACATTGACATATCCAAGAGGACAAAACTTTCCCATATTAATTAATTTTTTTGGAATGCAAGAATGTAGCTTGTCTTTTAGAAGAGTATTTAAATTACTGTGTGTGTGTTTTACACTTACATGTATATGTATGAATAAATATAAATGTGTATATATGTCCTCCGTAAGCCATGCGTGTTGTAAGAGGTGACTAAAATGCTGGGAGCAAGGGACTAGTAACCCCTTCTCCTGCATACATTACTGAAGTTGAAAAGAGAAATTTTTGTTTTTCTTTTTGGGCCACCCTACTTCGGTGGGATACAGCCAGTTTGTTGAAAGAAGATGTATATGTGTATGTATATATATATATATTCTTTATTTATATTTATATTTTAACATGTTGGCCATTTCCCACCGAGGTAGGGTGACCCAAAAAGAAAGAAAAAACTTTCATCATCATTCAACACTTTTACCATCACTCATACATAATCACTGTCTTTGCAGAGACGCTCAGATACGACAGTTTAGGCATCCCTCCAAACTGCCAGTATCCTAAACCCCTCCTTTAAAGTGCAGGCATTGTACTTCCCATTTCCAGGACTCAAGTCCGGCTACCCAGTTTCCCTGCATCCCTTCACAAAATATTACCCTGCTCACACTCCAACAGCTGGAAGTCCACAAAACTTCCTTTACCCCTTCCTCCATCCTTTTTGGGGACGACCCCTACCCCGCCTTCCTTCCCCAATAGATTTGTATGCTCTCCAAGTCGTTATACTTTGTTCCACTTGAGGTATGGGAGGTAATCAGGTGTAAGCTAAGGAAGGGTGAGGCTGCTGTAATTACTGTGATTGAGAGTTCTTCACTAGGTGTCCCATAGCTCATGCATTGAGGTCCATGGTTCAGTTCCCAGTATGGGTGGAAGCATTTGGGCATGTTTCCTTAAAGCACCTGCTATCCCTGTTCACCTAGTAGTAAATAGGTACTTGGATGTTAGCCGACTGATGTGGGTAGCATCTTTGGGACAAAATTAACCTAATTTGCCCAAAATGCTCTGCATAATCAGGGGCTTTCTATATAGATTGTCAGTGATGTCAACTAGGTCTTTATAAGTTGTATCATGTACTTGTAGAAATAAAGGTTATTATTATTAACGCACTTCATTTGAAAGGAACAAGCTGCCATAATAAGATATTCGATCTGCTGCTCATATGCATACCTCATGATCATTTGTTCAGTACTGTGCTTCTTGTTTACAATGCTCTTTCATCAAAGTTGCAACTAGAGCTCTATATCTGCAAAAAAAAAATACTTAATAGAAAATAATGAAGAATAGCATTTGTATTATCAAAATTTTAAAAGTTTCCTAATAGACTCATTGACATCATGTTTGAGAGTTATAATTAAAATTTCATTTTATATTTTCCCTCACTTTTTTCAGCTTCCTTAACTACAGCACCTGTTGTTCTTCATGAAACCTGACATAAAAGTTGCACTAATACTTCTCAGTTCTACAAAATTCACATAATGAACAAAAAAAGAACAGATGCTATGAGATTTATGTCTTAAGAAACTGTTAACTATAAGCTTTGACTACTGCCCAGCGTTGGTTCCATTGATTTATTATGCCCTTATTTCCAGGATTCGTATTATCGTTTTCTACATTTCATATCATCACAATTTTCTTGCCAGAAATAAAAGTAATAAAGAAAATAAAGATCCTCTTTGTTGAGGCCTGGTCACAGACCGGGCCGCGGGGGCGTTGACCCCCGAAACTCTCTCCAGGTAAACTCCAGGTAAAACACTGTTCAACCCTATTTGTATGAATACATTCATTGTTATCAAGAGTTGAACATGGAATTTTTCTGGCTTTTAACCCTTTGACTGTCGCGGCCGTATATATACGTCTTACGAGGTACCGTGTTTGACGTATATACAGTGGACCCCCGGTTAACGATATTTTTTCACTCCAGAAGTATGTTCAGGTGCCAGTACTGACCAAATTTGTTCCCATAAGGAATATTGTGAAGTAGATTAGTCCATTTCAGACCCCCAAACATACACGTACAAACGCACTTACATAAATACACTTACATAATTGGTCGCATTCGGAGGTAATTGTTATGCGGGGGTACACTGTATACTCATAAATTCTAGCGGCTTCAAATCAAGCAGGAGAAAGCTGGTAGGCCCACATGTGAGAGAATGGGTCTGTGTGGTCAGTGTGCACCATATAAAAAAAATCCTGGAGCACGCAGTGCATAATGAGAAAAAAAAAACTCCGACCGACTTTGTGGTCTATTTTCGTATAGTATTTATGGTTGTATTCTCGTTTTCTTGGTCTCATTTGATAGAATGGAAAACATATTATAGAAATAGAGGTGATTTTGAGTGATTTTACTATAAAAAGAACCTAGAAATGGAGCTCAAAGTAGGGGAAATGTTTGATTTTTGCCAATGTTCAAAAGTAAACAAATGATGCCATTGTCCAATAAATATCCAACTAGCCAGTCATGCAGTCAACATGCAGTGATGAATGGGTTGATGTTATTTATACAATTATTACAGTATTGCAGTAGTCTGCATAATAGTAAGTCTTCTATTTTTTGTTTGAATAAAAATTTAAAATAGAAAGCAAGAGTAATATCAGAGGGGCCTGGAGACATGACTGATGAGCTAAGAAAATGTTATTTTAGAGCCAGGAATGTCTGCATTGTTCATTCTGGACCTTATTTTGAAATTGTCATATTTTTTAGTTTTTGTGAAATTGGCCAAATTGCAAATTTCTGACCACATTATTAGGTAGTTGAAATTGGTAAATGGGCAGTTTCTTGTACTCAGTCGATAGAAAAAATGGAGTTCTAAAGAAATAGCTATGAGTTTGGGCGACTGGAACAATGGAATTAGCCGAAAATGGGGCTCAAAGTGGGCGAAATAGCTGATTTGTAAACAGTGCCGAGGTCGCTAACTTTGCGAGAGCATAATTCCGTCAGTTTTCCATCAAATTTCGTTTTTTTGGTGTCATTACAATCGGGAAAAGATTCTCTATCATTTCACAAGAAAAAATATTTTTTTTTTTTAAATTTTGCGACACCAGGAGACATCTCAGGATTGGGGGTTGCGACAGTCAAAGGGTTAATAATTAATCCACACCCCTTAGATCACAAGATATGGTGTTTGTCAGGCTAAAACACTCAAAGTGAGGTAAATTCATCTCTTTTTAGTGTACAGGATGGTTCTTGTACTGTCTGTCTAAATGCAAAAGTTGATAATCATGGCATATTTTGAGCATTTATTGCTTCTGTAATATCAATTCAATTCATTCATTTCGAAGTTTATTCTCTATAAAGATTACAATGCTGAGTTTACAGAATTTGGTTATTGTGTGGTTTACATGTAGTGGTGGTTCCTTTGTGGTTCCTTTGTGTATGTACTTCAGTCTTACTTCTAATTGCTTTTGAAATTTGGTTTTCATGGCACTTCCTTCTTTCATGAGAAGTGCATTGATTTCAATTTAGATATTGTTATGGACGGGGCGATAACAATTTTAGATCGATACTGATGCTTTTCTATATTTTTTATTGTCAGAATTATGATAATTATGTTCACTATTGAGGGAATGCTTTTTGCTCAATATGCATTTAATAACCTGGGGGGTTAAATATTAAATAATGAGACATAATGAGAAATCAGTTATGAAAATAAAAGTCTGAACAATTCCCAGCTATATTAAACATAAAACTAAAGCATTTAATGCACTTTATTTAAAGCCTTAAATTTTTTAAAAACTGAAAAAGCGAACATTATTGTAATAGCCTGAAATTGAAGTATAAAATTATAGTACTTGACTTGGACAGTTCAGTCAGTAGTCACTCTGTGTCCACTTATATGAGTGAGTGTGAGTGTGTGAGAGTGAGAGTGAGAATGTGAGAGTGAGAGTGTGAGAGTGAGAATGTGAGAGTGAGAATGTGAGAGTGAGAGTGTGAGAGTGAGAGTGTGAGAGTGAGAGTGTGAGAGAGTGTGAGAGTGAGAGTGTGAGAGTGAGAGTGGTGAGAGTGAGAGTGTGATGAGTGAGTGGAGAGTGAGAGTGTGAGAGTGAGAGTGTGTGAGAGTGTGAGAGTGTGTAGGAGAGAGTGGAGTGTGAGAGTGAGAGTGTGAGTGAGGTGAGAGTGAGAGTGTGAGAGTGTGAGAGTGAGAGTGTGATGAGAGTGTGTGATGTGAGAGTGTGAGTGTGAGTGAGAGTGTGAGTGTGTGAGAGTGAGAGTGTGAGTGTGTGAGAGTGAGAGTGTGTAGAGTGAGAGTGTGAAACTGAGGTGTGAGAAAGTGTGTGAGGTGAGAGTGAGAGTGAGAGTGTGTAAGAGGAGTGTGAGGAGAGGGGGAATACCCTAGTGTGTGAAATATGTGTGTAATTTGATGTATTGTTGCACATGTGTGTATATTATGTAAACGTGGATTGTGTGTGAAAAAGAAACCTCTCACGTTGTGTAGTTACCATATTATTTGTGCACATGATTTAAAGCATCTGTGGATTAACCAACTTTTGTCCACCTTACTCGTTACATAAAATGGCGGTAACACTTACCGTACTTTGTTTCCCACAATACTTTTGATCTTACATACTTGGTTTCCTCTCAGATCTATTCTCCTATTTGCACACTTATTTTTGGGGGTTACACCTTTTTGTTTATATTTTTTCATTTATTCATGCAGTGCAAATCTTAGTTTATTCCTTCAAATTGTGGTACTTGATCTTCATAGGTATGATAGACATCTGCAAGATCATTCTCTGGTGGTTGGACTGTTATGAAAGTATTTGACAAAAATTAGCACTTTTGGTTTAATTAAGCATTAGGCTTTAAAAAAAAAGGTGTACAGAAACTTCAGGAATGTATGCTGGAAATAGATATCGGTAAACAGTAGTGTGAATCATAATGGTGGTGGGAATTTTCAGTAGACCCTTCTCATTGGTGTTGGCTTATAAATATACATGCCACAGCTTTAGCAGTACTGTAGTTATAAACATTGGAAAATTGTTTAATACTAACATGAAATTCTTCATGTAACTCAGACATTCCTCATGTATGATTTATCCAAATTTCTCTTTTAAGTTTTTCTTTTTCGGGCCACCCTGCCTTGGTGGGAATCAGCCAGTGTGATAATAAAAAAAATAATAATAAAAATATTCTCTTTTAAGCAAAAAATTGTAAATTCACGTGCATTATATTGTGGGGTCTCTTTAAATACCATTACAGAACATAAAGGCACAATACCATAACTGGATCACTACGCAGGTAACTCCCACAGAGGAGAAAGAAATTTATGAAGACATTTAGGTCCACCTTGGACCATTAATTCAATTCAAATCAAATTTGCATTTTTCTTCAGTGTACAATGTGTGATTTACAGGTTATAAGATATTGTTAAGCACTAAGAAAGCCACTAACATGCCTGGGCATTTTGGTTCAAGTTGGACCAAAACATTGTCATAAGTTTCTCCTTCATGCAGGTTATTTGTGTGAATACTGGTACTGGTACACTTTTTCCTACATTTGTATATTATGAAACCCACTTACGTGTGTGCGCGCGCGTTCACACGTACACACACATGGGCATAAACATGCACACGTGCATAAACACACACACACTATGAGGCACAGCAGCTAAGAGGTTCAAAGTAATTAAATGAATTTTGATAAAGAAATGCCTTGAAATCATGTTGCGTAAAAAAAAAATGAGAAAAAAATATTTTTTCCATCATTTATTTTCTTTAAGTTTTTTTACATGCATAAGTAGTGTTTTAAAGCAAGTTTTTTGTAAGAGTTGAGACGTTGACTTTCTCACTCGTACTTATGGTGCCCCATATGTAATTTGTGATTTTACTGTTATTTTTTGTATGTATAATCATTATTTAAATTAAATATTTGTTTAAATTATTTATATTTAAAATGTTTACATTTATAAATATTTATATTAAATAATTGTAATGTTATTTAATAGTTATATTACAGTGTTTATAATTATGATTTATTGTATTTTGATTATATTATTGTTTTGTATTATTATTTCAGTATTATTTTTATTGTATTATTTCTTTATTTTTTATGTAGCAGCTTTGGCATCACTGTCTTACCATACACACATTAACAAATTTTGTAGACATTAGAGGTTGCAATATTCAAGAAAAATTAGATATAGTATTATTAAACTACCTGCCGTCAGTCTTAGTCTCGGTGCAGGTACGGTACTAATCTTTCATTTGAAATTAGCGAGTGGTTTCCGTGCTGCTCGTGATGCCGTTTTAAGGAACTCTGCTGAGGTGATGCAGGGGCTCACTCCGGGTTCTTCACCGAGACGACGCCCTGGCAGCAGGAAGACTTCACTCAATGAACCCGATGATGAGTACTCATCAGATCCAGTGCGAGGTAGGTTCACATATTATACAGTGGTACCCCGGGTTTCGGCCATAATTCGTTCCAGAAGGCTGTTCAGGTGCCATTACTGAACGAATTTGTTCCCATAAGGAATAATGTAAATTAGATTAGTCCGTTTCAGACCTCCAAAAATACACTTACAAAAGCACTTAGAATAATACACTTACATAATTGTTTGAGTTGGGAGCTGTACGAAACTTGGGGTACCACTGTAAAATGTTACAACCTTTTTGATGTTCACTGGGTGGAATTTGTATATAGTCAGTTCTCCTGTGAAACTCTTCTATATTAGTGCAATTTTTTATAAAAGCGATTGAAAAAAGTATATCTGAAAATGAATTGTGTATGGAAAGGCCTCTACGGTATGTATTATACAATTTCAGGTGCATTGTTTCTCAGTCACATTTACAAAAAAAATCACATTGTGTAGACCACCTTCATAAGAGAGGTTACTGTACTTTCTTTATCACTGTGACCATCTCCCACCAAGGAAGGGTGACCCCCCCAAAAAAAATATAAAATAAGAAAACTCATTCACTGTCATCCATTTGTAGAGTTTGTGTTGGTGAACTGTATTTGTTGAAGATTACTAATTTCACTGTGCAATACTAGACTGATTGTGTTTGTGGGCTTGTTCCTGTTTATATTGAAGAGTAGAGGGTAAAAGTAGGTGGGTTGTGCTTCAGAGATATTACTCTGTGTTTGCATTAAACCATTATAAACACTTGATTGGTGAAAAGTGAAAAAGCCACTAGGGCAGAGTAATGAAATGTAGGTAAAAAAAGATTTGTGTATTACGGCATCAGGCAGAAAACACTCTTCGTCGTGCAACACTTGGGTACCTTTATTGTGGAAACGTTTTGCTATCCACTGGCTTCCTCAGTCCAATACAGAGAAGAATGCTTGAAGATCAGAAGGAGTTTGAGGTAATCAGTCAAGATCGATGGACTGAACACAACTCCAGTCTGAGGGACTGATTACCTCAAGCTCCATTTCCCTCTGAGGATGATGAAACATTTCACAATACAGATACACAAGTGTTGCATCAGCGTCTAATTCATCAGGTTGTCGGTTCACTGAACCAGTTATCTACATGCTCTTTGTCAAGTATGCTGTCAGAGCTCTTACTAAAGAAACTCTTCAGGCCAGGTACAGGTGTTTCTCGACTTTAGATATTTCGACTTTACGATGGTACAAAAGCAATTACTTTGGAGATGAGACTTAAGATAATAGACTGGTTATAAATGACCATAATTTTTAAAGGGGTGGACCGGTAAGCCAGCGGAAGGCCTCGGTCAGATGACCAAAAGCTCCAAAGGCGGGTCATCATCTGACTAAGACCCGCGTCAGGAAACATTTGTCCTGTTTCCTGACGAACCTTATCTAACCTAACCTAACTTAACCCTTTCAGGGTCCGTCCCGTAGATCTACGGCTTTATGTTCAGGGTCCAAACCGTAGATCTACGCCATGAGCTCAGCTCACTCTGATAAACTGTGAGTGGTACATTTGGGCCTAGATATGAGAGAATACATCTATGTGGTATGTGTGCACCACATAAAACAGATCCTGCAGCACACTGTGTATAATGAGAGAAAAAAAATGAAATCATGATTTTTCGATTTAAAACAGCAACTTTGCAGTGTTTTTTCGTATGTTTTTTATAGTTGTATTTGCGATTTTTTTGGTCTCATTTGATAGAATGGAAGACATATTACAGAAATAGAGATGATTTTGATTGGTTTTAGCATTGGAATGGCTTGAAACTGAGCTCAAAGTAGTGGAAATGTTAAATTTTTGCCGATATTCAAGAGTAAACAAACGACCTCACACATCTAATACACGTCAGCTGGTGGGTCTAATATACATTCACAAATATGGTGATGTTATTTATACAATTATTACAGTATTGCATAACAGTAAATCTTCTATTTTTTGGTGTGAATAAAAATTCATTATGTGAATAAAAAATAAAAATGGAATTTATTTGTAAAGCCTCAAAACATAACTAATGAACAGAGGAAATGTTAGTTTAGTGCAAGGAATGCCTACATTGTTCATTCTGGACCCTATTTTGAAATTGGAATATTTTGAACTTTGTGTTAAATTGGCCAAATTAACAATTTCCGATCACTTTATTTTGTAGTTGAAACAGTTGACTTGGCAATTTCTTGTGCTCAATCGATAGAATAGAAGTAATACTAGTGAAATAGCTAACATTTTGGTTGATTGGAATAATGTAATTGGCCTAAAATGGGAGTCAAAGTCGGCAAAATCGCCGATTCGTAAATATCGCTGACACATCAAAATTCGCGAGAGCATAATTTCGTCAATTTTCCACCAAATTTCGTACTTTTTGTTTTATTACCTTCACAAAAAGATTCTCTACGATTTCATAAGAAAAAATAACAAATTTTTTTTTTTTAAATTCTTGGACACTGGTGCGTGACTCCAGATTTGGGCCTTGGACCCTGAAAGGGTTAAGATAATTACCCAGCATGAAGGTGGGAAGTCTATAACTTGTATATATTTTTTTTTACTTTTCAGTATTGGTATGTAGTTAAAGTAAATATTTGTTTATTTACATAGTGACAGTAATTATTTAGTTATTTAGCATATCACATTCATTTTTGATATATTTTCGACTTACGATGGGTTCATCAGAACATGACTCCCATCGTAAGTTAAGTAGCACCTGTCTGTGCTAATACTGCTGAACCAGGTAAAGAAATGCATCCAGGCCATATTAAGTAATCAAGTCCTGAGGCTGCATACGGTAAGTTTAGATCCCCCAGTAACGAAACTTTTATCTAGCTCCTTCATAACAGCAGTGCACGTGACTGGGAGCCATTACTGACGGGATGGCATTAACAGGTCCAGTGTTTGAAAAATCCGGTTTATGGTATTTATTGAGAATAATATTTCGCAGGTGGGGATATAGTTTTGGAGTGGTTGGTGCAATTATTTAATAAATGTATGGAAGAGGGTAAGGTACCTAGGGATTGGCAGAGAGCATGCATAGTTCCTTTGTATAAAGGCAAAGGGGATAAAAGAGAGTCAAAAATTATAGGGGGATAAGTCTGCTGAGTATACCTGGTAAAGTGTATGGTAGAGTTATTATTGAAAGAATTAAGAGTAAGATGGAGAATAGGATAGCAGATGAACAAGGAGGCTTTAGGAAAGGTAGGGGGTGTGTGGACCAGGTGTTTACAGTGAAACATATAAGTGAACAGTATTTAGATAAGGTCTAAAGAGGTCTTTGTGGCATTTATGGATTTGGAAAAGGCATATGACAGGGTGGATAGGGGGGCAATGTGGCAGATGTTGCAAGTGTATGGTGTAGGAGGTAGGTTACTGAAAGCAGTGAAGAGTTTTTACGAGGATAGTGAGGCTCAGTTAGAGTATGTAGGAAAGAGGGAAATTATTTCCCAGCAAAAGTAGGCCTTAGACAAGGATGTGTGATGTCACCGTGGTTGTTTAATATATTTATAGATGGGGTTGTAAGAGAAGTAAATGCGAGGGTCTTGGCAAGAGGCGTGGAGTTAAAAGATAAAGAATCACACACAAAGTGGGAGTTGTCACAGCTGCTCTTTGCTGATGACACTGTGCTCTTGGGAGATTCTGAAGAGAAGTTGCAGAGATTGGTGGATGAATTTGGTAGGGTGTGCAAAAAGAAGAAATTAAAGGTGAATACAGGAAAGAGTAAGGTTATGAGGATAACAAAAAGATTAGGTGATGAAAGATTGAATATCAGATTGGAGGGAGAGAGTATGGAGGAGGTGAATGTATTCAGATATTTGGGAGTGGACGTGTCAGCGGATGGGTCTATGAAAGATGAGGTGAATCATAGAATTGATGAGGGGAAAAGGGTGAATGGTGCACTTAGGAGTCTGTGGAGACAAAGAACTTTGTCCTTGGAGGCAAAGAGGGGAATGTATGAGAGTATAGTTTTACCAACGCTCCTATATGGGTGTGAAGCATGGGTGATGGATGTTGCAGCGAGGAGAGAAGGCTGGAGGCAGTGGAGATGTCATGTCTGAGGGCAATGTGTGGTGTGAATATAATGCAGAGAATTCGTAGTTTGGAAGTTAGGAGGAGGTGCGGGATTACCAAAACTGTTGTCCAGAGGGCTGAGGAAGGGTTGTTGAGGTGGTTCGGACATGTAGAGAGAATGGAGCGAAACAGAATGACTTCAAGAGTGTATCAGTCTGTAGTGGAAGGAAGGCGGGGTAGGGGTCGGCCTAGGAAAGGTTGGAGAGAGGGGGTAAAGGAGGTTTTGTGTGCGAGGGGCTTGGACTTCCAGCAGGCATGCATGAGCGTGTTTGATAGGAGTGAATGGAGACAAATGGTTTTTAATACTTGACGTGCTGTTGGAGTGTGAGCAAAGTAACATTTATGAGGGGGTTCAGGGAAACCGGCAGGCCGGACTTAAGTCCTGGAGATGGGAAGTACAGTGCCTGCACTCTGAAGGAGGGGTGTTAATGTTGCAGTTTAAAAACTGTAGTGTAAAGCACCCTTCTGGCAAGACAGTGATGGAGTGAATGATGGTGAAAGTTTTTCTTTTTCGGGCCACCCTGCCTTGGTGGGAATCGGCCAGTGTGATAATAATAAAAATAATATTTCGCCTTCTCATTAAATGTCATAAGTCATAATTTGCGTCTTATTCACACATTTGTTAGTAAATATCATTGTTATACAGGTTAATAATCTTAGAATGCTGAAAGCAAGGGGCTAGTAGCCCCTTCTCCAGTATAAATTACCAAATGTCCCACCAAGGCAGGTCACCCTGCCTTGGTGGGATATGGCCGGTGTGTTAAAAAAAAAAAAAAAAAAAATACAGGTCCAGTATTATGTACCACTTTCACCCAAAATGAGTGAAAGTGGTACATAATACTGTCTTATGTTCCTCTTATGTGGCTAACAGCCAGCTAACATTTGGTTAGTCCATGAAGAGGTTCACAAGGATTGTAGGATTGTAAAGTCATCCAACCTA